GAGCAAGCTCACGGACCACCGCCCAGATGTCGACCGACAAGCGATTCGTTTGTGCGTCGAGCAGGCCGAAGCAGTCGCTCAAAACTTGCAGTTCGGTGTCGAGATTTGACAACAGCTCGAGGACGTTGGCACTGATCTCAAGCAATTGGCCTGAAGCGCAAATCCCAAAGGGCTGCAGCAGTTCTGCCAAGCGCGACAGGAGGCGACTGCGGTCTTGAATCTCAACCGCTCTCCAGAGCAATTGGACCAGTTCGACTGGCTGTCCTCGGTATCTGCCAAGATCAAGGCGCGAAAACCACATCTCGGTCTCCTTGCGGCGCTGCTCGATGGGCGCGCGCGCCAGGCATTGAAACACCCATGCAATTGTCACGAGATTGGCCTCGGGCTGTAAAATGGCACGAAGATCTTCATCCAGTGTCTGCTGAACAGGCTCCAATAAGCCTGCATAAGAGACGTCCAGTGGATCAGCCAAAGAGCGCTGGTCCCTTTCACGCTCCAGTACCACGCTGTGAATCAAAGCTCCCACATTAGATAAAGCCCCAGCAGCCTCAGCCCCCTCGATCGCATCCTCATCTTGACCATCATTGATAAGAGCACCATCATCATCCCCATCACCGTCCCCGTCAGCTAGGCTAAAAGCATCTTCATCGTCCGTGTCGCCGTGGTCCTCAAGAACAAAGGCGTCTTCGTCCTCGTCGCTGTTGTTGATCAGAAGACCATTGCTCACATTCAAGGAGCGAGCGCGTAACTCGCGACAGACCACGTGCTGTAGTACTTGCGAATCAAGAGGTGCTGCACGATAGGCAAGAAACGCACGTAGATCCTCAGGAAGCGACCAATCGGCACGCGGTAAGCTCTCGGCGTCGGCTTCAAACTGACTAAGCTGTACTTGAAGCGCCTCGACATGGCGGGCGGTTGCCTCGGCCTCGGCTATGCGCGCAGACTGCAACAGATAGTCGAGGGCTGATCGGACGACCTCCATCTTTTCTTGGGAGGCAGTGACGGCTTGGCGTAGGTCTAAAGTCGGATCAAGGACGGCGTAGTCCGTGTCTGCCCAACGGTACAGTTGTTGAAGTTGCTGGTCGCTGCAAGACTCGCACAGCTGACGTGCAAACGCCAGCGTGGCCGAGCCATTGTGCACAGCGCGCACAGTATCGTTCCATGCGTGCACGACCGCTGCAACGCGTGGCTCGCTACGAATTGCGGCTGCAAGGTAAGTTCTGGGTGCTTCAGCGGCTGAAGCGTGCAAGATTGCCATGATTTGATCCCAAAATGACCGTTGATACGCCAGGTCCCCAAGAGAAGAC